TGCACACGAGGGTCCCTCCCTCAAGAGCTGAAAATCTTGTTTGGATTTCAGCAGGGAGGATTTTCAGCTCCTGAGTGGACCCACCCAGTTACCCTAAGGAATCCTGTGTTCCTTACTTTGGGACTTTTATCTGTTCAACGACCTACACAGTAGCTTAATGAGCACTACTAGGAATGCCAGGATTGTAGCTGTTGAGCAAAGTCACTTGACATCTCACTTAACGACCACTTTGCTCCATGACCAAGATTCCTGGCTCGATTGTAGTTGTAAGTCGAGAACTAGCTGTAGTGTGTTTTTTAACTCACCAAATTTGCCAGCAAATTACCCTTGGAAAATGATTCTCAAGCAAATTTTCTGATACACCAAGTAGTGATTAAACAAAGATTTCTACATCAAATCTATACATCATTCTGATATCTTCACAAGTAATACGTACAAGAACAAACATGGCCAACCATCCCCATGCGTGTATAGCTAGTATTATTTATCATAAGAATCTCAGCTGCACTGTCAACCCGTTTTAGCCTGTTTTTGTAAAAGGATATGAAATTTAACCTGCAGAAAGGTTCTTTCTGAAGACCAGGTAATTGCTTGTCCTACAAGCATGATAAGCACCACCCCTGGTCTGTGTCAGTCTATGACTAGCCTAATGCTCCTGCTTGCATTGTTTTTGCCAGGGCAGTTTTAAGATGTTGATTTTGTCCTTTGAGGCAAGAAGTACCTTTATTGTTTCTCTAAAATAAGCATGTTAAGTGACTAAGATTTTATGCTTTGCTCCCTAACCAAAAAAAGAAAAAGGGATTGAAAGTCAGTCTTGCCCTGGAAATAAATTCCTGTCATTTGTTGCATTTCTGCTTCTATCATATCATACCACCAAAGATTTATTTGCTAGACAAAGAACCGAAATGCCTGGCAGGATGCTTGACTGATGATGTAATTTACAATTGGCACAAATTTTCCTGGGATCTGAATCACTGGGTATGTACCTACATTGCAGAAGGCTGTTTTGTTTCGTTTTTTTACTCCCAGCTTAGGGTGACTTCAGACTAGATTCTCTTTTGATAAATTTCACTGGCAGTCTACTTACCTGAAATATTTTTGCTTTTGTTCACAATTAAATATATATTTATAATATATATATAACATACATACATACATACATACATACATACATACATACATACATACATACATACATTTTTTAGTGAATATTATGGATACAGTGACTTTAATGCTACCAAAATCACTGACCAGAGATGAACCAGTAGAAGCAATAAATTAATAAAGTTATTTTATAGCCAGTGAGGAAGCCTGATGTTAATGTAGCTGATATTTAGATTTCTAACCATCCTCTAAAATCTTGCTCATAGGCTTAGGAATCATATGGCATTTTTAAAAAATAAAATGTAAATTGGAACCCAACCTTATTCAACTTGCTGATTGAAAATGGGAGTTTAATTTGTTTGGATTAGTGTCTATATAAGTTCTGAGCTGTGAGAACTAGAAACTATTAAAAATTACTGTAAATGGGCAATGGAACTCATACTCTCCCAGTTTCTAACCTGGTACCTTAACCACTATATTCGAACTGGTTTTTAAATATATTAATATATTGGTTCCACCACAAAACCGCGGTAGACAAAAGCGCGCTCGACGAAAGCGCGTACGTGACGTCATCACAGTGCGACGAAAACATCACGCTGTGAGCGGTAAATTTAAAATTAAAGTGAAAACCTTACCCTAACCCCCCCAAACCTAACCCTAAACCTAACCCTAAACCTAACCCTAAACCTAACCATTAACCTAACGCTAAACCTAACGCTAACCCTTAACCTAACGCTAAACCTAACCCTAACGCTTAACCTAACCCTAACCCTTAACCTAACCCTAATCCTAACCCTAAACCTAACCCTTACCTTTATGTGAATCGGCTTGCTTTAATTTTATTTTAATTTCAATTTAATTTATTTTTAATTTTTTCCGTCGCGCTGCTGATGACATCAGGTACGCGCTTTCGTCGAGCACGGTTTTGTCTACCGCGGTTTTGACGGGTCACGAATATATTGATTAATGTAGGCCCTGAATGGCTGAACACTGCAATAGTACTGAAGCCCAGGACAGCATGTGACTCCCTCTGTCAAGGGGGAAGAAAGAAGGAGCATTTATTTAACCCAGTGGCCCCCAATCTTTTGGGCACTGGGAACCAGTTCTGTGGAGAGAGGATTTTCCGCGGACTGGACAGGGCGTGGTTTTGCATGCTGCCTGCATCCTATGATTGGGGCTTTGCTTGTTCGCGTAGACTGGTTTCTGACATGCCGTGGACTGATGTTGGTCTATGGACTGAGGGTTGGGGACCTCTGATTTAACCCACTGGCTATTGAAAGATTAAGACTTTAGAATTAAATACAGAAGGAATTGATTTTGGTTTGCTCATGCAGGGACATTGTTATCAACTGGCTTCTCTATTAATATTTAGCTTTGAGTTTGTTTTTCTTTTATTAAAAGCAATGTTTTTCATAGAACTCAAATTGATTGCTGTGTGTACCAATCAATATTGTTTGTGTTAGTAATTTTATTGGGCTTTACTTGTCAGTTTATTAAACTCATTAATGATAGTATGAACCGACTCTATAGATAGATGTAGCTTTGGAAGTCTCCATCTCTGAAGGCTGCTTTGTAATTTTTAAGATATACGGTATATGTTGTAGATTGCACTATTTTAAATAGGGCATCAAGGACTTTTGAGAGCAGGCACTTTTGAAAATCATTAATATATCCAGTAGTTGGATCTGAAGTTCAGACTGATGATTTAGTTGTTTTGTTTTATGCTTTAGCAGCATTGTCTACAGTATTGCTATCGTACTGGTGTTTTTATGACCAGAATCAGATTATATTATAGTTTCATTCTGTTTTTTTCTGCTAATTTATACATAATGGTCGTAGTTCTCTTTTACAGAATTGGCTGCAATAGAATGCCTATTCTCAAAACTATGAGCAAAGCATTCCAGTTTTGGCAGTATTCAGGCATAATCTTGAAAACTAGTCAGGAGTGGTATTTCAGTAACTCACATGGCTTCCCAGAGGTTAAAAAGCCGTTCCAGCGAAACCATCTTGTGCTACAAGGGTCATTCGTTGGCTGAACATGATGATCAGAGTCTGCAGATCATTGGAAGGGATCCAACAGTAGGATATTACGGCCTGTGACTCAGCTCTGAACACTCACGCCTGGATGTAGAAGGCAATCAGTGCCAAGCATGATCATTTGGATCAGGAAAAGAAAGTGAACATGATCTTCTTAAATATGCTCGATGTTGCTTTGATTGGGTAATTTCAAGAAGATCTGGGTTTATAACCTTGCATTATTTCACATTTTGGAGGTACACATTTTTAGAAGAAATAAGATACAGGTAATATATTGAAGCACATTATTGCCCTATGCAATTTGAATAAAGGTCTCTTTTGGGAGTCCAGAGAATTAACTTTAATGAATTATCACCTTAACTTGGAAAAAACTTCAGTAAGAATTACTAACGTTGAAGTACTGAAAGTTGACTAGTTTAGGAAGATTTGGCGGTGGGGGAAGAGGGAGTACAATAGGCCACCTTCATCCCAAGTATGTGAGAAAGAAGAAAAGTGCATAAGCCTGCTAAATGTTTTAGCTCTACAGCACGGGTGTCAAACTTACCATGTCATGTTGTCGTCATGTGACGTTTTGCAATTTTCCCCATTCACAGAACTGGAATGGGCGAGGCCTGCATATGATGCATCCGCCCTGCGAGCCTCCCTATTCTAGAGGATACATTTGGGACACTGCAGATTGTCTGCCTCTTAGCAGACAGAGTTGCTGTATCTCACAGGCCACTATGGATTAAAAGCCTGTGGTGATTTTGATCCATTCCTCTTCATAGTTGTGTACTTGGTGTATGTGTGTGTGTGTGTGTGTGTGTGTGTGTATGTATATGTGTGTGTGTATATGTGTGTGTGTGTGTGTTTGTGTCAAACCTACATAATATAGGTAGTCCTCAACTTACGACCACAGTTAACCCCAAAAATTTTGTTGTTAAGTGAGATATTTGTTAAGTGAGTCTTGTGCCATTTTACAACCTTTCTTGCCTCAGTTGTTATGTGACTCACTGCAGTTGATAAGTTAATAACCCGGTTGTTAAATGAATCTGGCTTCTGCATTGACTTTGCTTGCCAGAAGGTCGCAAAATCACATGATTTTGGGACACACAATGGTTTTAAATATGAACTAGTTGCCAAGCATCTGAATTTTGATCACATGATCATGGGGATGCAAGAAAGGTCATAACTGAAAAATGGTCATAAGTCACTTGTTTAAGTGTCGTTGTAACTTTGAACAGTCACTAAACAAATTGTTGTAAGGCAAGGACTACCTCTACTCCTCCTATTTTCCTCATAACAACTCTGTGAGGTAGGTTTCTCTATCTCCTTCTCCCTCCCTCATGCATGCACAAACACACACACACACTTATCTACCTATGGTAGACCAAATATATTTAGCAGGTGATCTGATGGGCATAAACCTTGACTAGTTAGAACCCAAATTCTAAAGGGACCAGCTGCAGAAGACTAGACAAGTGCTTTGAACATCAAAGGTGTTGCAGACTATATAACATTCAATAAGAAAAATACATTTTCGTGTATCTTATTACTTTTTTGTGAATACACATAATGTCTTTTGAAAACAATAATTCTACTGCTTGTTTCCATGTATAAAATGTTTGGGGAAAAAGTTGATTCATGGTTATGAACTGGCAGTCTTAGTATGCTTTAAAATAAAATAAAATTCTACATTTATAAACTCATTGCTCCCAATATTTTATCAACTTTACTATTGCAAAGTTATTTTCTTCTGTTGTGAAAGCTTAGTTACTGTTACATTGGAAGACATGGAATATTCTAAACCTTTGTTCCTGTTGTTGATTAATTATGATTTTTTTTTGCCAGCAAAGCAACCCATTGTCTTTTCTTAACAGTGCTTGGAAGAGTTCACCGAGAATGTCTGGCAAAACGTCTGGCACCACAAACAACATAGCTCAAGCAAGAAGAACTGTTCAGCAGTTGAGAATAGAAGCATCTATAGAAAGGATAAAGGTTAAGCATAATATATTTTCTTGCTATGAACTATGTGTTTATTATTTAAAGTGTGTTCTCTGTCTCTCCTCTTATGTTTTCAAATGCTTTTTTAAAAAATCAAATAAGTTTAAGAATTGCCTTGAAGTGATTGGAATATGGCATTGGGAGTCTAATATCTTTTGCTTAATGAAACTTCAAGGCGCAATACAGTTAGATACATGCAATAGACACACATTTGGAGATTATGTTGGTCAGTCACATAAGACATAATGTAATTTTGATCTTGTTCTGTTCAGCTTTCAAAAAGTTACCCTGCTGACTTCCAGAGAAACAGAGTCCCAAGACTCTTACACAATTTCTCTCCAACCTGTTTTTGGATTGGGAAAGAATAAAAAGGATAAATACAAAGGAATAATACAGACAGTGAATTGGAATTGTAGAGCTAGTATCAGGAAAGTGAAATGTTAGAATAAGAAATCAAAGGAAAGAATCCCCAAAAGAACAAAAAGGCCTATTAGGTATATTCAAAATAAAAAGAAAAATATTAGTATATATTCAGTGTCAGCAGAATGCTGAGAAAAAGTTACAGTTACTCAAATTCTATTTTGATGCAGTCGTCTCCAGTATATGTGTGACGAGTGTGTACATACATATTACACATACAGTATGCACACATATACATACATACATACATACATACATACATACATATATATGTGTGTGTGTGTGTGTGTGTGTGTGTGTGTGTGTGTGTGTGTGTGTGTATGTGGTCCACTTGGAATTGTGAAGAGGAAGAGGCATAAATGAACCTTAAATTTAATAAAAACCTGATCAGAGAATTCATATTTAATAAGTTTAAATCTCTAATATCAGATTAATTGCAAGGTAGAGAGGAACTAACTGATGATATAGTCAAAATTCTCACACATTTTTCAAAATCAGAAATCAGAAAACACAGAAAGCAAAAAGTCCAGCAAATTATAGACCAATCAGTCTGCCTGCAGAGATTCTAGAATAATTATAAGCACTTGTCAGCACCTTGAAAACAACGATTAAAAAAAAATCAGCAGGGATTTGTCAAGAGTGAGTCTTTGTAGACAGAGGATAATCTCTTTTTTGATCAAGCAAATTCCATAATAGATTGTGGGAATGCTGTAGGCTAAGGATGTGCATGAAATGAAAAATATAGTTTGTAAACCTGATATACACTCTTCCATTATGGAAGTTGTGCCAAACTGGTTCGGTGAGCCATGCTTTGGCAAAAACAACATCCAGAATACTTTGATCGTTGGGTTTCAACCAAAACAAAAGTAGGAGGGATCACAGAGTGACTTTTATAAGACAAATTGGGAAATGTTGATACATTTGTACTTCCTCTGCATGGCTTGTGTGCTGGCCTGTCTGCCTTTTGATCTTTTGAGGCCCTTTTGTATACATCAAAACATGTGAAACATGCATGGGTTGGTTTGAGTACAGACCATTGAGAGCCAGCTGCCCTATGCAGGAAACAGTTCATGCATGGAAGATACTGCATATTCTTCCTATAAACACAGTGGTGGGATTCAACCAGTTCGCACCACTTCGGGAAAACCGGTTGTTAACTTTCTGAGCACTTTGGTGAACTGGTTGTTGGAAGAAATCATTAGGGCAGAGAACCAGTTGTTAAATTATTTGAAACCCACCACTGTGTAGACATACAGGTAGTTCTTGGTTAATGATCACTAATTTAGTGAACTTTTGAAGTTGTGAACACTGCCTGAATGAGTGATGGTAACAACCAGTCCTTTTAAGTTCCAATTGTCCCCCCACCCATACAGTCACATAATCACAATTGGACACTTGGGAACTGACTTGTACTTACAAAAGTTACAGTGTCCTATGCTTATGTGATCACCATTTGTGACCTTCCCTGGCAGCTTCCCACAAACAAAGTCAATAGGGAAGCCAGCAAGTCACAAGTTGCTCTGGTAAGTCTCTCCCTCCCACACATCCTTCCCAAGTCTCACTGCATTTGCATGGTGCCTCGACCATTCGCAAACTCTCATGCAGCCTCTCCCTCCCCCTCAAAAGCAGCAACTCCCAAACCCTGACATGCTTCAGCTGCCTCTCCCTGGCCATCCATGCACCCCCCTCACTCTCTCTCCCACCCAACATCAGCCATTTACCTGTTTCCCTGCCTGCTTGCAAGCCATCTGAGACTAGCAACTTCCTGCTAGCTGCCCAATTGACTTGGTTTGTTAGGAAATTGCAAAGAGGGCCTCACTTAACAACTCACATTTCCCCTTAATAATGGCAATGGGCTTGCCACTGCTAAATAGTATGACCTTGTGATCTTGCACTTTACATCTGCATTACTTAGTGATGGAAATTCTGGTCCAGTTTATAATTATAGCTGTAATATATTTTGACATCATTAAAAGCATTTGGCAGGCCGATTAGCAAGCTGGTTAAGTATAGGTTGGATGGCATGATAATTAAATCGATACATAACTGGTTCAAAACACAATTTTGCAGGCATGTTTATCGTTTGCTCCTGATCCAATTAGAGGAAGGAATCAATCCTGGATCTTCTATTCTTCGGTATTTTCAGTAATGACATGGGTGAAAACGTAAAGGGCATACTTAACAAATCTGCAGGTGACCAAAAATTGAAGGAACAATAATTTAGTAAACACATATAAATTGCATAAAGGTATAGGCTGTGGGATACTTGGCTTAGTAAAAAAGCTTAGTCCTCAAATTATGCACATCACTTAGCAACCATTCAAAATTCTGATAGATTCCTTCAAAGGTACTTACAGCACAATTCCAAAGTGTCAATGGCCACACAAACACATCCCAATGATCATGTGACCATATGTTGGGAGTTCTCTAACTGGCCCACACTTGCAGTCGTTTGCAGTAACTTGCAGTCAGATAACCGGGTTTTACTTATGATTTTTGACAAAAACAGCCCATAGCAACCAATGAACTCGCTTTATGACTGTAATGTTTGCTTAACTGAAATGACCTGCTTTACTACTTTCATGACTTACAACCATAATGGGCAAGTTCCATTATGGTCATAAGTCAAGGACTATCTGTATTTGTAAAGAAAATGGAATAGTAGTTGGTTACAAATTAAAAACAAGTCAGCGTGCTACGAAAACAGGCAAATACAGTTAATAAAAGTATAATTTATAAATTACAGAAAGTAGTAATCATTGTTCTGCTTTGCTCAGATCCAATTTTAAGTTGGTCCCCATGTCTTACAGATTTGGGTTTAGAGAACCAAGAATGATTTCAGAGAACAGGAAACCAAATCTCAAGAAGAGAGTTTGAAGGGGCCGGAGACGTTTAACCTTCAGAAACAATGCTTGAGAGAACCTATAAATAGCATTCTTCAAATTCCTGAAGGGAGGTCACATAGAAGGTCAAGGCCTGTCCATCCCTATCCCAGAGTGCAGCCATGGAAATATAGATTTAAATCCTAGAAAGATAGATTCTGATTGAATGTTAGCAAGGGTGCTCAAATTATAAGCAGGTTGACAGTGGAACCAGTTATTCAAAGAGGTAATAGGCTCCCTTGTTTTGAATGTTGAAGGAGAAGGACAACCCTCTACCTGGGATGCTTTAATTGTGATTTCTGCATTGAGGAAGAGGTTGATCCAAAGGTCTGAATAGACTCGTCCAATTCTTGTTCTGTGATTCTCTAGCCATTTGTAGAAAGCCGCTGTCAAGATGTACTAGATTCTGTCTCTGTTGTATCTTGATCAGCATGGTCGCATAAAGCACCAGTGCTGTGCTTTCTTTGTAGAAGATAAGAATGCCATAGGCATTCCCAGACTTTTTAAGATGCATATGTGAAGAACAGAAAATGAAAAGTAATGCATATCTACTTTTAATCTCATATCAAGCTTCTTAACAATTTAATCCTACAACCACCCCTTGGGACATGATGACAAATAAAAAAAGCATAAAGGTTTACATACATTCGGCTTCTCATTTTGCAATTTGTTTATTTACCACTAAAGCCTCCTTCATAAACAAAAGCTAAAAGACTGCAAAGTATTTTTGTGTACACTTGCACATATTCAATGAGTGTATCTTAAAATTCACTTTATTAAAAGAAGCTTTTTGGAAAATTTATAATTCTGCCTCTTTTTTCCTCTGCAGGTGTCAAAGGCATCAGCAGATCTAATGTGCTATTGTGAGGAACATGCCAGGAAGGATCCTTTACTAATGGGCATACCTGCTTCAGAAAATCCTTTCAAGGATAAAAAAACCTGCATTATTCTATAGGCAAAGCAGCAAAATGCCTTCTAAACCTTCCCCTGCAAAACCAACCTAGCCAATTTTAGAGAAGTAACCTGAAGGTCACCTGGTAGCCATTGCATAAAACAGCAACTTATTTCCACCTTGTGTATGAATGAACTTTTAAGTTTCCTTGAATGTTTGTTTCTCCCATCCTCAATGCCAGGCACACGGTTCTAAAAGTTACTTCTTGCAAAAATGGAAGGGTTCTACAAATGTTGTTAGGCATGGATTCTCTTGGCTTTGACGGGCTGGGCTGAACTGGGCTGGGCTGGGCTGGGCTTGATTTTAAAATGTAGTGAGTGTTCACAGATCCAAGGATTGAACTATCAAGACCAAAGTTGCCTGAGCTTCATTTACAGAGTAGTGAGGTAGACAAGCCTAGAATGCTAATCAAGCTTTCTTTTGCATTTGATTTGATACCAGTGTGTACCTTGTATATGTAAATGGAGTCTATATCTAGGGTGTATGCATATGTTCGTTTAGATGTATAGACACATTCCAAAGTGCATTCTTTAAGTGCACTCTTCAGAGTTCATTGCTGCATTTATTGATAGAATTTCTGCACTTAATGCTTTCACTATTTAGTATATCTTAAGCTTTCGACAATGTCTTAAAAACCTACACATTTGTACATTCTGGTTCTCAACATAGCTTTGAAAAGTGACGTCTATCGCCTTTAAGTTATCTTTTATTTCCACTGAAATGTAGACTACACTAAATTCAGATTGATTGCGATAATGGTGTCTAAAAATTTATCCTCCTTTTCTTTTTGTCTTTTAAGAGGAGTTCTGTCCTTTGCCTTTTTCCTACACAGTTTCTAATGAACTGGTTTTTGGAAGCTTTCAGCCTTTTTTCAGTTTGATCCCCCAATTTACATTTCATAAATATCAAACAATCACTAAGTAGGAAGAGAGACTCTGAGTGAAATCTATGGTGCTACTGCTTCTGCACAAGACCTATTAAAATCAATGGTTGTGCTAAATAAATGCTTGAAGGATTATAGCAATTCTCAGCAGCAGCAGCTAATCCCTTGTATATGTTAACATTATTAAAGAATTTGGGTACCATTCATGCGATAATGAGATACTGAATAGAAAGAAGCAACACTGATACATTTTAAGCCAGGGGTATGTATCTGTATTCTATTTGTTTGGCCTTTTAATTTTTATAGTATTATTGTGATCTGCCATAGCGCTGTGTTTCGAAGGTGGATTACTTGTAGCTTTTTGTTGTTGTTCCATATGTAGAGGCCCTCGGATGCATGATTAGATTTCCCTCATAGAAACTTCAGCATAGAATGCAAAGCCAACCCCAAAGCATTCATTTTCAACCAGCCAAGGGACAGCCCCTCAAATATTTCTTCTTGTTAAGACCTAGACTTCCATAGTGTTTGTATCTGCTTGGTGACAGCTTAACGCATACTTGGTTTCACCGTAACTGTATTGAGAAGCTAGCTGCAGAGCTGGTAAGCCAAAGTCCCCCACCCAATTTACTGGTGCTTTTCACTGCATTATAATCAAGCTCTTGTGGAGAACTGTATTAATTCTGCATGCTGCTGTGTTGATATTGTATTTCTTTTTGCCTTCATGTTCCCAAAACATAAATTTAACACATTTTAAAAACTAAAATAACTTCCTAAAAATAGTACGGAACTGATAACAAATTCACAATTTTGCATTGATTTTGCTTATTTTATATCACTCTGGCCATCACATAATCAATGTACAATTCATTAAATTAGATTACCTGGAATTTGGTGCCATCTTAGTTGCTATCATAATTTTAAACAGTGTCTTTTCTGATATCAAGTCTTAAGTCCGTGTCCCCAAATTAACACAGATGACCTATTTTTTGGTTTGTTTTAAGATAATTGGGCAGCAGTTGATTTGTCAGCTATATAAATCTTCTTTATAAAGTATGATTCTTGCAACGTTAGTCCATGGCAACAACATGGGTTAACTTGCATTTCTGTTAAATGAAGTGAACCAGACAGTAGTTAGGCTTGTGTTATGATCTTAACATAGGAAGTAAAATCCAGAGGAAAAGGTCAACCTACGTTTGACTTTGCTACATGGAAGTGATTAATTCGCACCGGTAGATGGTCCTCTGGTGAGTTAAGAATGTACAGATCATGTACCTAAGCTCATGCATGATGGCCATAAAGTATTGAAGCTCTCAATTGTCAGAGTTGATGCTCATTGCAATAAGCCTATAAATGAGGAGAGACTGCATTGGCAGGCCTGTCAACTCTAAGAGAGTCGATATAATTATTTGTAATGAATAAATTGATATTGCCACTGGTAAATGGGCACCTGAACATTATATTACTTGTAAAAGCAGAAGTTAATGCTGGACGTTTTCTCACCCATCACCAACCCAACCTGTTTCCTACAAATCCTATCCCAAATATCAGTATTTTTTTAAACAATTAGAATGCTGCTCTTTTTAGACCTATTCTACTCATCAGATGAATGCAATTTTAAAAATTCTCAGCACATTCACCAATTTTATATTTTCATATATATAGTTGTATTTGTGCTGATATATATATACTGATATGCAAACAAAAGCATTTTCCATGTTGCAAACACTACACTATCACCAGCAAATGCTGCTCCATATGCTTTAATGAATGAATTTGGACACATTCAGTTACTCTTGCTAGCGAGGCATTTTAAACTGATTATGATTGTTCCCTGCCTCTCATTTAAGTTCTACTTCATGTAAGATTAAAAGGTCCATATCCTTAAATTTTAAAATCAGATTTATGATAGATGAACCTCTGTAACTTACTTAAATACCCTCAGTGATTGAGTATCTAATAAATGATGTTTGACTTGTTACACATTGAGTTAAAACTAAGATTAGCACTTGGTGATCAGGTATTTGAAAAAGCATCCTGCTTAATAGTCCTCTTGCCTGGCTTGACTGAACACAAACTGGATAGAGGAGGCATTACCAAAAGAAAGAAGGACATCTTTAGATGTTGCCTTGCAATTGATGGGTGCCATTAATTTTTTTTCTAATTTTTTCTACTCATCTCTCAGTTCACATTTTTCCAAATTAAGCCTTGAGTTTTGACACCTTAATATTGGGCCTGCTTTCTGGACTTTTTGTTCTTTTTGCATTGCTAATCATGCTACTTTAGTCATTTTCAAGTTGGCCTCAGCTCTTGATAACTTCACAGACACATCCATCTAGCTTTGGAGCAGCAATATAGAAATGGTTTGCCATTGCCTTCTTCTAGAACGTGATCTTTTGTTGTTAAAATCTGACAGTACTTATGTATTCGCCTTGTTGTAGTGTTATAGCACCAGGCCAAAATAGGTTGGATCCAAATATGCCCTTCCATATGTGGGATAAGATATACTATATCCCAAAAAGCAATGTTTTAGCCTTACCCTAATATATTCCCAGGAAAAAGGAAAAGCAAGAATCCAAGAATCCAATACATGCTTGCAAGGGAGAAAGCCCCCTTTCACAAGTGAGCCGTGCTGACGGGACATACATAAGAGACCATTCAGGGGCTACAGTCTCTCATGGTTTATTAAGGGTAAACCACTATTCATTATAATGGGGCTTATTTCTGAGTAAGCATGTATAGTCTTGTACGATATAAGCAAAGACCGTTCTCTACATGTGCCAGAGAAGCATAGGAAATGCTATGAACTTGCATCTTAAAGTAGTCTAGAAACTGCTTTCCTTGTATTTGCAGAGCAATGCAAGCAGCAATTTGGTTTATGTTGTGGTGCTTTGGATCCAAACCAATATTTTCACCAGCAGTGCTTTAAATTTTTATCATTCATGTGTATTTTACAAACCGGAGATAATTATTGAAAACACGGTGTTGTAAACTGCAGATGTTTTCATTTGAGCCAAGTAAAATGTTGTGCCAACTTCCATTTACGAATGCATTTTGACTTCCCCTTGAAAGGCTCATGGGCTGTCAACCTCACCCTTGTTCAGTTTCTTGTATTGATTGAGATGTAGCAGTTTTCAATCAAAGCAACAATAAATTCAGAACCAAAATGTAACGAGCTGCTTTGAGTTATTTCTCTCCAAGTTTAAGTTGTTGCTAGATGCCTCCTCACCCCTCACCAGCTTTTCATAACTTTTTTTTTAATATATTGAGAGTTGAAACATACACACATTGCATGTGTGCAATGGTGATACCTCAACAAGAAATTGAGAACATTGCCTTTATATCTATTGCCTTGGATTCACTTCAGTGGGACTTGCTGCAGTGGTGCTTAGGTTAATGTGATTAACAGAATAGGGGGGAAATGAACACTTAATTTAAAATAATAACTTCTACACTATTGTGAAGTTTGAAATTAAGAGTATGAAACTTAATAAGGAGTTTTTAGTCATTGTACCACTAACCTCCACCTTGGTGTTTTCTTTGAAACATCACGGAAGAAAAATAATACTGTCTAGAAACATGCTGTGTTTTTATTTATCCCTTTTAAATATAATAGTAAACAACTTTATTTCTTACAGACAATCTTCTCTGTTTTTTTTCTTGCTCTCACATTACTGTAATGTTGCATTGAAAAGAATAATACCATGATTTGCCTTTGAAGTAAAAAAGAATGCATGAAATTACTTTAATAGTTTTGTTTTATCTTTCATAAACAATCTGTAATTGTTTGCTTTCATTGTACCTCTCTATACAATGTGATTGCTCTTGGAAGGTGGTTTCTTGCAAACATTAGAAAGATTAAAAACTGTAAAGATTCCTTTTCACAGCTAATATATTTAGTATCATGGATATAAAATACTTTAATTAAATATCATTTCTTTTCATATTGTTTTCTGCCTATCATTGCAGTGCACTGAATTTAAGTGTGTTAGAAATAATACATCACATTAGTTGCATCAGTTAATAAAGACATGACTAATCGATTTGAGCCAGGCATGTAACTGCAATCACATTCTGCTGCTATTGATATTGTTTTAAGGCATCAGTTGGAAAGCCAACGGGTGACCTCTACTTTTACAGCCTGACTTCACTGAACCGTTTCGGAGGAACACTGAACTGCAAAGACATCTGCACATTCTTTCTTTGCAAATGGTTTGCAAAGCATGTCGACCTTTTAGCTTCAAGAATAGTGAACATATTTCACCTTTGATTCTGCATGCTCTATCCTGAAAAGATAATTATGAATAGCAAGAATAGCTTTTGCCATAGTCAGATTCTATTCAACAATGTGGTGATAATCCTCATAATATCATAGGACTGGTAGCAAATCACCACTCCCTGCCCTCCTTGCTAGGCGATGTTGCATTTGGTATGCTGAGGTTTGCTATACTTACGAGGAAAGAAAAAATAAAGGACAGGATAAGATCCACATACCCCTCCACCACTCAGAATATCTGCCTTTCTATTGGTAGGTAGTTTTTGCTGTGGATCTGTGACTGGGGTAAACTGCATGTTAGATGTTCACCTGCCCTGTCAAAACATGAGATCCAACAAATTCTTCCTTTGACTAGATTCTGCTTAGAGATCAGTGAACAAGGATTAGTCTCACTTCTCATTTCAGACACCCAATTCTGTTGATTGCTGTTCTTGGCAGCTCCTTTAAATATTACCTTCCATTCAATTTCATGCACTTATCTGAGGCTACTGAACTCTATAATGTAAGGTTGGACCACTAAGAAAGACATGATTTATAGTTGGGCCATTTTAGAATGGAATACCAGATATTCACTAAAGAAAGTTTTCATTGCCCTAAATGGTACATTTTGGAAGCTTGTCTGTGTTGAGCAATGGCATCTTCCTGCCTGTGATAATTTCTGTGTGGGTGTGCTGACATAGGCTGCTGAGTAAGAGTGAGCTTATGCCCCACTAACCTGTTACACCACTGGAATAGAATTTCTGCTCAATATTCCTACATGAGGAAGGGTCCATAAAGTAATTATAGTGGCTGGGGATGATGGATCCTTGCAGGGCATCCAGTTGGGAAAATTGCAGTTTGTTTTCTCTGATCGTTTTGTTTGTCTGCAATGCAACCTCCACAACCGTCACGTCACACATGGGTTGTATAACAACTCCCATTACCTTTTAATATCAAGATGGTAGATGTAGTCCAATACAGCAGAAAAGTACCAAATTGAGAAAGACTGACCAAGTAAATACAGTCTTGAAATCTTGTGGATCAATACCACATCACACACTTAGACGTCAGTAAACGAAGGCGCTCTTTCCTCCCAAATATCTAATTTATATAGAATTGTACTGCAGGCAGCACAAGATGGTACGGACTGATATTTTTTCAGATTTTCATTCCAACAATATCAAGTGATGATTTAGCAACCTACTTTCAAGTTTTGTTGCTGTATACACACATTAATTGCTGATGAAACTGTGGTTAATCATAGATCTTTAACTTTGTGCAGGATACTGGCCCATCTGGTTTCAGCCAGCTGGTTTTGCTGCTGAATAGTCTCCCTTTATTTCATTCAGTCAGGTGCAAGCTCCCATAGCAACACTTTTTAGGCAATAATGCTTTTCCTTACTCTCATCTTTTCAAAAACAGCTTTAAAAAAAACTTACATGTTTTAATAACTTCTTTCTATGTATTTTAAAAGGAAAGCGGAAAATATTTTTAAAGCCAAGTCAGTCATAATTGTAGGTATTATTTTGTATGGCTGACACTTAAAATTGCCGGCAAAGCAGCTATTTGAGGTTTCAAGGGACAGTGTCATATTTCAAATAATAGTATGCTTTCATTTCTTATTAACACTTTGTTATTTGCTTCATATTTGGTGTTTTTAATTTCTTGCCCTCTAAGAAAGTGGATTAGTGGATGCCACTCATCACTGAGGTGTGATATGCTTTTATTTCCCATTATCTATTTTCCTGTATTGTGGATTATTTTTTGGACTTGTTAGAAACGCTTTCTATTTACTGAACAATTATGCTACAAATGATGCCCTGCATCCCAAACTAATTCATAATTATCTTCCTTTTACCTACTTCAGATGTTTATGCAGCTTTGCTTTTTTGCATGGTGTAGCACTGGGACCTGGGCTAGACAAATAATTAAGCAATTTATGAGTGAGATTCCCTAGTCTTACAGCTTGAGAATAGAATGGAACAATTCAGCTGCTTCTGGATGTCTCAAGGTGTCTTTACCTGGATTTCCTGAATCTCCTGCTGTGGCACAGCTATTCTTTGAAATTGAGGTCCAACACATTTCAAAATATTAGAATGGGAGTGGCTACTGGTGCTGGGGATCCTAAAACACAACATGGCCTCACTATTGTTGCTATATTAAACATTATTTCTGAAGCACATTTCATTATGAAGAATTCTATAAAGAAGAGACTAATGCATTTTCTTACAAGAGGCATATATTAGTTAATTGATCCAGCCGTTAGGCAGCCTCTGGTCTAGAAAAATAACAGATTATGAAATAGTTCACTATAAATTGCTATTGGGGACACTTTCTACCTCTCACAAGCTGCCTCTTACCTAATAGAACAGATATGCCTAACATTTATTTCTGTGAATAGTTCCATTGCTTTAATGAGATTTGTTCTGTTTTCAATGAGCCAATTTTATGTAGTGGTTAAGGCACCAGGCTAGAAACAAGATTGTGAGTTCTACTCCCACCGTGGCATGAAAGTTAGCTGGGTGATCTTTGACCAATGATTTTCTTGAGAAAAATAGGAAAAACGAGTACTATGTTTGTCACCTTGGGTTACTTATAAAATAAAGGCGAGGTAAAAATTAATACCTGTTATGTCCAATTATAAAATATACTCCAAGGGTCTTTAAAGAATAATAGCAATACAGTCTGGAGGGATTTCAAGTCCCCCTGCACTCGGAGCATTTCGCTTGCAATACTTTGTAATGAGACAAAGTAGGAGGCATTTGCAGAACATTTTTTTGTTTCAATTACAATTCTTCAGCTGTTTTTTTAGACCTTTTCCAGGGCAGATGCATTTACTGCCATACATCTTTCTTCTACTGATGATTCCTTTGCCTTTTTACCCAGATATTCAGGGCAAAAGTGTCATTTAGTAGAACCCATCCTTCCTCAAGAGAGTGCATGTTTGGCTGGCAAGCATGTGGGTGAGAAGAGTAGCTTAGTTATTCTTACTTTCAGGTGTGTAAGTAACGCTAATGCCTTTGCAGAATCACAACACTTTTAATTATTATTTTTGTTAAGTTTTCCCATGTTACCTGCTCCTTCTTTTGAATGCAAACCACAAGACAAACCACAATTCACCATTTGCCTATTTTCATTATTATTAAGTTTGGGGGGAGAAATTCTGTTCTATTTTATAAGAGTGGTTTATAAATCACAGCATGTTCTCATATTCAGAGATGTTATGCTGCTACAACTTCCGAAGTATTGTGAAAAAACTTTAAAAGTTAGGGCCCTTCTGAATGCCATGCTGTATGACAGTCACAATCGTGATCCAGGAATTGTTTCACCAACACTAATGCTTTGTATTGCCTCTAGCCTAAAATGCAAAAAACAATTATTTCCTGGTGGTTTTTAAATGTTTTATTTTAGTGAACACAGTCCAATTTCAAACATTAAAAGGCAGCAGTTCAACCATTTTAATACAAGTGGTGCATAAATAAATCTTTCACTGGTCTCGCAAAATAATTTAATATTTCTTAGAAGAAAAACAATGGGCATTTTGAAACCAAAGAGAATAGTTGCTAGAGTAAACGAACCCTTTTTGGTCTCAAACGTGAAAGGTATTTAAAACAGAAACTAGGAGTTTCCTTTCTGACAATGCCAACTAAGCCCACTTGGTGGCTTCTGAAAGGAACTCTGCCACACTTGATTTCACAACCGTCTTGCAGAACTCTTAACTTCCTCTGGAGTTTCTATTGCTCCCTCAACATGGCTTCTGCTTTGCGTCCATCATTGGCCAACAGTGCTGTCAAATATCCTTCAGTTTCACACAATGCGCAGTTCAACCTCAGCCCGCTGACTTGACCTCAATTACTGTAATCCTTGTGTCAGGCTGGGAAATTACTTCCTGAGCAAATAACTAAAGTATCTTGAAACTTCAGTGCAAATTTTTCTCTATTCAGTTCAGCTTTATTTGCCTGCTGTCACCGTTCAGGCAGATTAATAACGGGGACCCACTGATCCATGTAGCGGCTTTCACGGCAAAAGCAGATCAGCTGACTTAGGGCTGGATCCTTCCATTGAGAAGCATGTGGATTCTGCAAGAGAAAATGAGACAGAAAATGTTCACTGTCAGCACAAAGTAAAATGCTGCTGACAATAAAAGGACCTATATATAAAAGAGACAAAATGCTCTAGATAAGATTGCAATGCAACATTTATTACTGGGGGTAAGTTCAGTTTAATACTTTCAACTGATTTGTATAAAAACAGCTGTTTTTGTGATTTGGGGGGAAATTTCAACTTTTATTTAAAATATCCACGAATTCACCTTAATAGAGTTGTCTCCCCCCCCCCTCCAATAACTAGCAAAAGAGCTCTCTAATATAAAAAGTAGATTTTAAAAAAAACTGTCTGCAGTATAGTTTGGATAAAAAAATAAGCAATCAATATTTTATTCACAAGCTAAGCATTATGCACACACTTCACAATGACGAAAAATCATTTGTCTTTGCATGAACAGCCAAGTAACTGTATAAACTATATTTGCAGTTCATGTCAAATAATGGATTGACCAACAGAAATATTGACTGAATTCCCTTATTGTAACTTGAATGTAAAAATAAATAAATAAATATTGTAAACCTACTTCTTAAAGTATGACTTCTGAAGTTATGAATAATTTAGCAGTCTCCAAATTACATCAAG